GCGAGGCTTTTTTGATTGTCTGCTGGCAGTTTCACATGTTGCACACCTTTACAATAGACATTATGTGTAAAGGTCCTGGGTAACACTTTCAAGAGGAGGCAAATATGGGTGCTGTAATATGTTGAATGATTCTGTACTTTTTGTGGTCAAATTGAAAAAAAATATTGCTCTTGTTGTTTACAACAAGGTATTAGTAGTCAAAATATATGTATATACATTACCTTTTTGACCTTGAACCATGGCAAATCACCTTGCCAGTTTTTAGGCCAACCATGGAGCCAACACCTAATGGTGAAAATAAGGATATATTTTATTTAATTAACTTTGACTATTGGCCGACACCAAAACTGTCAGTTAGCTAAGGAACAATCCACAGAAAAAATAACAGCTTTTTATGAAAATGCATACTGAATAAAATTAAATGAATGCTGTCGGTCGTTCTCGTAAAATGTCATGTTTAACCTTTGTATTTTCGCCGTTTTTTCTCAATGAGGCTGCGTGGTAGTGTTTGCTTTATTGCTGATTTTGACATGACATCTTTAAACCAAAAATAGAGAGCTTCGAAAATTTTTATTCTCGTCAGGCATAGTGGGGGTCTAATTTTGTACATGTTTTCAAATTTTCAGCTCAACACCAGGCTTGTTTTGGAAACTAGCGCAATTTGAAGCTCAGAGCTATGGTGGTTGCTTGGCATACAGCTCCGCGTTGTCGAAAAATATAGACTTAGCTGTTGACTTTGAGGCTTTTTAGGAAATTAAGTGTTAGTATAAGTGCTTTTGTACATGTTTGTTGGTTCAGTTAAGATAATCAGTGGGCTGGATAGCCAAAGTAAATTCCAAATTTTTTGCTCTATTTTCCGGCCGCAATGTAGGTGAACCAAAGATGCACCCACCACAATTGCGACCCTATACTAGGCTCTGTAAATTTTCGCAAAACATTTCGACGAATATCTTAAGTTTGGGAAAACAGAGAGACCTAAGAATTAGAAAGTTCTTCCTTAACCTATCTCCTAGAACATTGAAATTTCGTAACTAATCCACTGAAGATCTCTCTCTCTTTCGATGGGTGACAGCGAAAACGATCATTTGCTGAAAGATAAAAATCATCACAATAATAAGAAAACAAAAAAGACTTACCATACAGAACAGTTGAGTAGCGCGCCGGGAGGAGAAGTAAACTCAAAATGCTCATGAGACAGCGAATCTGGCAAAAGGCAGCGAAGTGATCTAATCCAAGCGAAATTTGCTTTTTGGTGAAATAACCAAGACTAACTGATAGGTTAACGATGTTTATAACCTTGTGGACCTCAATGGGAAATGTGTATTTCATGGACAGTTTGACACGCATTCATCAATAACAATTGATACTGATCTGGCAACAATCGATCCGCGAAATGACAGTTACCCAGGGTCAAGTTCCCTGTTCAAACAATCAAGTTTCCATTCTGCGTGTACGAGTGCGTGCTTGCGTGCGTGCGTGCATGTGTGTGTGTATGTGTCTGGAGAAGGGTAACTTGCCTGTTTCATGGAATTAAAGAACAATTAAAGACTGAAAAGATGTGGCAAACGATCCCAATATTGTTTGACTATCATACTAACTTCAGTTTCAGCTGTTTAGTTCTTAACTTACAGTGACACAACCAAACAATAGCAGTATACCAAATTTCTACCATAAAGCAAGTACATTAGTTCTCAAAACAATTTTTTACAGTACACTTTTTCAACAAAACCCTTTCAGCAACAGTAACATTTTCCACCCATTTTCCACCATTTTTTTATGTGAGCAAAATTGTTTTGGGAAGACAGACGATCCAGTGATTGATACAAAGTCTTCACGCCTAGCAGGTGAATCCTTAAATAACCAGTAGAGTGAGCTCAAGGTTTGTCCTACTTCCCAGTTGGTTTCCATACTTCCAGAACGGAAGGCATTGTGAATGATATGTAATCCACATGACCCGATGTTTAGCATCTTCTTTTTGGTTTCTTCCTCAATACTTGTGGAAAGCAGTTCATAGGTTTTCTAGTTCACATTCGGACCATCCATTGACATCTGCAGCAAACTTGGCTTACCAATAGCAGTGCAACAGTCCAAAAGCTTTTCATGTAAACAGTCTGCATCAGCATGGCCCAGAAATTCTGAAGTATAAAACCAGCTGGACACCGGTAGTTAGATAACGGCGTAATATGTGACTAACACAGTCTATATACTGGAAGATTTTACGCCACTAACCCAGTCGGTGATTTAATTATAATAAATTAAAATATGATTAAATTATATTACTGGCGTAAAATGTTACATATATATATATATATATCACCGACTGGA